ATACCTTAATAGCCATTTCATACCTGCCCAATTTCAAAGGAAAACAAGCTTAAGTTCAAATCCACCCTCAATTTCACATTTAGAACACCATTTTGATTTTAAGCGAGTCAACACCTTCTGTTTCTTCGACGGTGACGGCCTTGAAGATGGCGAATTTCACATAGCGTTAACCCGTCCAACGCTCGCCTGCTGCACTGCCATTGATAGCTGTTGGTCCTTTTGCACCGCAAATGGTTCGGTGTCAAATCTTTATCCAACATTGAAAAAGTTACAAGTTAATTAAAATTTTCAGATTATTTATTTATTTTTTATGAAATTTTGTTTGAATATGAGAGGATTGGGTGCTTGTATTTTGAGTTGACCTTAAAGGTGTTGCTGAAGATGTTGTACTAGATGAAGCGACCGTTGTGGCTCAGCGTCGCTGGGATGTGCTTGATCAGCGGCTGTGGTTGCTGCTGCCGATGCTCGTGTCTGCTGGCTGAGCTCCACCTTCTATTTCCTTGGGTTTACTTTGATATAAATTTTAACAACTGGCAGAATTTGGTTTGAATAATATTTAGTTATTTACAACTTGACAGAAGTGCTGAATGTGCCACGTCAACTTTCTGTCTGCAAACGTGGAGTTTTTCGGCAATTGAAAGTAACGGATTTGAAAGAGTGATGGATGGGTAAACGTTTGAATAAATGAGTGAGCAGTAGGTAACATCTTTTCTTCAGTGAGCAATTAGTAATCAAGGGCAAAATTGAGTGGCCATTGATTTAATTAACTTGCTTATCTTTTGCAGTTAGTTCCTGGTTAAGAATTTGATTAAACCTGTTTAATTGCTAGTTTTGTGTTCCATGTTTAACCTGAAGCGTATTTGTGGATTCAATCTTATTTTGCTTAATGCAATTACTTTGTTTCCTTTTAACCTTGTCATGCTGTTTTCTTATCTTTTTTTCCCTCTATGTTTTACTTCATGTTCTAGTAACTTAATGACTATACAAGCTTTTTATCAGGTAGTAATCACCAATGGCAACTGAGAAAAGCCCAATTGAGAAGCTGCCATCTTCTGCAGCTCAAACCCAAGCCATGGCTTCATGTCGAAAGAAGAAGAATGAAGAAGCAACTTTTCTGCAAGATGTGAGGAGTCACATTGATGAATTCGTCAATGCCTCTATGGAAGAACACAAAACTTGCTTTCAGAAGACAATCAAGAAGGTTGGCTGTTAAATTTTTTACCTTCACAGGAAATGGATGTGGACATCCTTTTAGCTGTATGTAATATAAGTTGAACTCAGTGCTTATTAATTGGCTTTCATGCATTTTTAGATGTTCGGCATGTCGAAAGTTGTTGCAGAAAGGAGTTCTGAGACTAAGGAAGTGGAAAGTTCTCTGCCTCTTCAGACAACATTAGCTGAGTAAGACGTGTGGTATTTTTTTTGTAATGAACTGATAAACTAGATTATGGTTAATGTTGGCCACAGGGTTATGTGAATGTACAAGTTTTCAATCTTGTTCATTAGCTGAATTTCTACTTTTAAGTTTCTATTTTTTATGTTCTAACAGAGTCCTACTATGTCAAAATAACGAAGACGAAAATGGTTGGGGATTTCTGGAATAATGATCCTTTAATGTTTGTGATAAGATTGACCGTTGATATATCATTTAACAACAAACTAAGTTTTGTTTTCAATACATTTGGATTTGGCAGTGACTTTATCATACAACATAGTTTGGCAATCTGTGTATGAGCGTGCATGGACCCCTTCTCTATTCTACTCTCTTTCTTCGAATCTTTGATGAAAATGGCTGCCAATTGATCTTAAGTGTATAAAACCTTCTATCTTGCCCTCTAGTCATGGTGGCATGCCAAGTGAAGTTTTAAAGGTCAATATACGGAGTTGGAATATTTGTTTAGATATAGTATTTGGAATTTTGCTACTTAATGTACATAATGGATTACATAATATGACGTGGAGGGAAAGATTGGATGAAGAAGTTGATTGTTTTAGTGGCAAACGACAGTGTGCCACGTGGCATTATGTAATCTATAATCTTAATTTGGGTAATTCTTTCCTATTTGTTGTTGGTTTGGATGGGTAAGAGCATGGTGAACCAAGAATCTACTCATAATTGGTGTATGGGATAGGGTTGCGTAGGGTCTAGAAGAGTAAAAGTGGGTTGGGCAGTCCAGCACTCAAAAATGCCCAGCCCTAGCCAAAATCGACCCGGGCAAAGTTGGGACTAGTTCGGCCTCTTTACACCTCTAGCGAGGTTCATCTTCGACAGGATTGGTGTAGGTTCTGTTGTGTGAGTGACTTTTGTGTTGGTCTGAGGTACATGAAGATTAATCGAGCACACCATTTGTCAAGCATATCTATACGTGTTCAACCTTGCTTTACCTTAATTGATTTGTCTTGAAATATACGTACAACAAAGACATAGTTTTCACTCTGTCCACACATTCTGTACTCAACAGCTCACTTATTTCAATTTGATACTACGATAGTGGCTCGTATCAGCGATAAACAAAAGAGAAAATTGCACCGTTAATCTCCAATTTATATCTTGTTGCAACTTAGTTTCTTATCGCGCGTCGTCGTTGCAATGAATGATTCTTTCTATTTGGCTGTCAACAATGCATTGTTGAGAGATAAAATGGGTCAATACTCAAATTTGATCGAAAAAGTAAATAAAGAAAAAGAGAGGGAAAACTAGGAAAAAGTAGCAAATTGCACCCTAACCCCCTTCCTCTAATTCAGTCACATTCTCAACCAGTCACCTCAATGCTCGGGTGGGGGTTTTGCTTTTCTTTTTATTTTATTTACTCTTCAAATTTAAAGATGTTCTTTTTTATGCACTATATTATGTTCTTTATAAACAAAGAATCTCTTGAAGATATTCCAATAATTTGTGTAGCAAAAAATTGACATGACTGAATCCATTTATTAAAGATGCTACCAAAGCACAATACAAATATACAATAGACAATGCTAGTGATGAAAAGAGGTTGAGGACAAAGCTAAAACAAGGTCTTTAGTTTATGGACTAATGGTGCAATTTTCCCTAAACGTATTGTTAATGAACAACAATCAAGGGAGAGCTTTGACATTGGCAAAATTTTGTCCCTGTTTGGTACCGATTAAAATTCAAATTTTAATCTAAATTAAAGTTAATAATTAGTTTTAACCACATATTTTATGAATCCCATAATTTTTCAACCTCACATTTTAATCTGTATCAAAATCTACTAAAAATATAATTTTAATTCCTACCAAACTGGGGCTTTATTATCTACCAAAATTAGCAAGGGAAAATTAGGCCAGTTACTGTAAAAAGGGAACAAATTAGATTAATACACTTTAACCAAATTAAGACCTCTAACAACCGCAAATAATATGTTCCCAACCCCAAAATCGTCCAAAAAACCCAAAAGCCCCAAAAAATCCCCAAAACCATGATTCCGTCAGGTGGGAGAACCAAATCTGGTGCTGTGGCTGGATGCAATAGTTGGTGCTGGCATGGCGCTGGTGGTGCCGTATGTGGTGGAATTGGTGAGGGTATTGTGGGTGCGAGAGCGGGAGCTGGTGCCTTTATTGTTAGGGTTGGTGTTGGTGGTGGCTGTTGGACAGGTGCAGAGGATGCTTGTGGTTGAGGTATAACCGGTGGAATTGCTGGCGGTGAAATAGAAGGTTAAGGAAAGAGAGGGGTTGGACCAGAATGTGGGCGTGAAATAGGAGGTGAAGTTTGCGTTGCAGTACTCAGGTGCTGCTAAAACTGCTTTAGTGCCCAGAGGAGTTGCAGCAAGTTTAGCAATATCAGCCAGATAGTTGCTGGCATAGTTGAGTGGACAATCTAGTGCAGCACAAATAGAAGTTGAGATCAACCTCGCCACTGGCGAATCATCGAAAGGATAGATGTTGAACTGAAGGTAAGGAAATGACTTTGCGATTGTAAGGTTGAGATGGGAGGTGTCGGCGGCAACGGAAGACACCAAGTGGAAGATTATATTTTCAGGGCAAGATGAGTGTTGAAGGACTGAAAGAATAGCAGCCATGGATCCCCTGAGGTACAGACGGAGGAAGTGAAACTGGATTCTAAACCGGGATACACACAAGCCGTCAGCATTGGCAATGCGT